CCGATCGGCACCGTCGGCGGTCTCGGGGCTAAGCGGGAAGGTAAATGCATCGAAATAGTATTACATCGTAAGCGTTGCGTGATCGTAATTAAAGTTGTCAATCGTTCGCCGTCGCCGAGTTCAGATGGGCCTTTGCAGAAGCTGGTGCGAAGTGTGCGCCTAAACAACTGGTTTCACCCGCCAGCCAAACCCACAGACTTTGGAGCAGAAAACCCCATGTGAAGAGAAAGAGAGAGAGAGAGAGAGAGAGGGAGAGCATGCACCTACCTCCATCTGCCTCAAGAAGGTACCGACGGTCGAGCAAGTGCCCTACGTGTACGGATACAATGCTGCTTGACGCAGTCTTCCCCAGGGTCACAAGCTTTGCACCCGTGTGACGGTGGCGGCGGTCTAGCCCACCCTTTCAGCACACCGGGGACTTGGGACACATAGAAACGATGGCAGACCAAACGGGGTCGAAGCAGGTTGCAAGCGGCTGCATAGCAAACAGCAGCAACGTCCTCCGGCCTGTGAGTGAGATGATCCCTGTAGCCATGAGTTGGGTCTCTGCCTGCTCGGCCAGGCACTGACAAATGCGTCGCAATTCTCTGATGCGTTCCACCGACACCTTAGCTCGGCCAGCCGACACGAGTGGCCCCCGCCAGGCTTTACGTCAAGTCCAGGAACGTGGCGTCGACTCTCCGCCGTTCACACGTTTAAAGATTGCCAAGAGACCACCTCCGGAGTGTAGTCCCAAGGGCGCTACGTGCCACTACGGATGTTCCTGTTACCGCTAAACTCCCACCCGACTGGCATGTCCGTTCGAAAAAGCTCGACTTTGCCCGGCAGGTGCCCTTGGGGTGGGTGGGACGGCCTGTTGAATGGCGTCGTTTGCCGTTTGCTTCGAATCCGCCGGCTCAGGCGAAGCGCAAAGAAAGAAGGAAGCCGCGGGGCTTTTGGAATCAAGATAGCGTACGAATAAGCAGGGTTGAGCTACGGGATCGTGATCTGGGGTCGGAGGCGGAGGCGGATGCTCGATTGGTCTCTGTGGCATCCGGAGATGAGATGCGGCGACGCGATCGATCGGCGGCTTGGAGACGAGGTAAGAGGTTTGTTTGCTTGCTCGCTCGTGGTTGATACTCTCGGAAGCCACTCCATCACATCCAGGTTGGTCGAGAAAAACAGGCGAAAGATGCGAGATCATAGTGTGCGAGATCACGTACGCGAGAGGACCGTCAAGCTCAACATGTCATACAATTCCCTCTCGAGGATACTACTCAAACGGGCGAAAGCGTTCGATCAGTATCTCGTCATACAGTCGATGCCGGAGGCACGGTTGCGAGAGACGAGGGAGCGCTTGTTGGCAGGTTCCCTGCTCCGTACCGTACCGGTACTTGTATACATAGTAATGCAGTCCGGTTGGAGAAAGCAGAATGCCATGGTTCACACCATGGGGAATTGCGGAACATGTGGGTGCTCGGTAATCTTGTCTTGCCTTTCCTCCCCCCCCCCTACATCAGTTATGTTCCTTGCTGTTGGGGCGAGGTCGCGCTGCATCAAGTGTGCGCATGTCTCTGTCCTACACCAGAGACGGGATGGGGCCGAGTTGTCTTCCCTTTTCGCCACAGACAGACGGAGAGGAAGCGGCGGTTCGTTCCTCTTGCGGCTGTCTCATTTGCCCGGAATGATTCCCGTCTACAGGAGTGGTGGGGTCAGATAGGCTCGTGTCATTGGGTCGCTTGCCCACCGTACAAGTGCCTATGTTATGTAATCCTTGTGTTCCACGGAGCTAGTCTTGAACTCCAGGGCGTCGGGAATAGCATGATGGAGTGGCACTCGCCGCTCGGTGCATTAGGACAGAGCCATATCATTTCTCGTGGATAACTCCCTCATCTGTTCAGCGGATAAACTGCACAAGACCAGGTTGACTCTGCAGCAGTGGGGGCCGCAGGCAATAAGCATACTGCATGTGCTACCTATACGTAGTGTGCTGTAGTGAGGGCGTGCTGCCCGGCGAGCTAACCCTTCCCGGATTGCCCATTGAGTCGCAGTGTATACAGAGCCCGAGAAGGTTCGGAATTTTCCCTCGCTTTTTTACTGACAACGGCACGCAGCGTACGAAGTAGAGATACCAGTACTCTGTGGCTGTGTCTGTAGAAACTAGGGTTGATAGGGGTGGGTGCTGCCTGCGGAGGGTGTGGCAGTAGATGATCGAGGCTCGACATAGGTACCTAGACCGTGCGGTACGGAGTAGTTGTACTTGTACATGCGGGGCCTGTCGAACGATTGGCAGAGGGGTTCGTCCCTATGGACGGGGGTCTGTCAAAGTTCGTTTGTATCTGTACCTTATTATTGTTTCACGCTCCAGTACCGTGCAAGTACCGTGATGAGTTACCTAGCTAGAGAGGCGAGTGTGCGCGGACTCTTCACTCCGCGGCGGCCTTCAGAAACAGACGGCGCAACTGCTGTTGTTGGGCCATCTCTGTCCCTCGCTAGGTTGTTTGTTGCACTGTGGAATCGATCCCGATGTGACGTCAAATTCCAAAGAGCCGCCCACAACACCCTGACATCGAACTGTGTAGGCCGACTGCAATCGCGAAGAGACTGGAGAACGGAAGGTTATTTCGACGAGATTACCGTTCGCGACCAACCAAGCCTTAAAGAGGGGTTGATTCAACGCGGCCAGCACCCAGCACCGGTCAACCATCGTCTGACAAGGTCAACCGTCGTGGCTGCAACCATGGGGACCTCGCCGCCCCAAGGAATAAGGTGGTATGCACAATCCAACCATGCGCAACGTACCCGTACATGTAAAGTATCTGTATCTTGGAGATTCCTGCCCTTCTTCCCCGCCCAGGTTGTTGTTTGATGTGGCGGGGTAGCATAGCAGCTTTACTGCTGGGCGGCTTGTGACAATGGCCTGTGCCAATTCGCGTTTTTTTCCGGGTGGCCCACGAACTACAGGCTCGTCCGTCTCGTCGCGTTGACATGGCCACCCCAGCCTGTAAATGCTCCTTGACAGACAGTAACTTCTCGCTGGCGTGTGCTGCCTGCGTGAAGGCCGACGAGCAATGCCTATCCGTTTGTACAGTAGGTTGTTTACCTTCAAAAACACGGCTTACCCGGGTTTGGCGTAGCTTTCCACAATGTTTTGCCATGAGGTTTTGTGCTGCTGTTCTCTACAAACACGGGCTCTGCCTACAGAATACCAGTGACCGTCTGAGCCAAAAGTTGAGCATCAAGGTTGGCTGGTTGCGAGACCCTCGCGTAGAACGCAGTGTACGCGTAGGCAATGTCGCCGCCAGGTCTAGGCCTTGGAAGTACCAGGCGTGCGCAAGTCGGGCTTTACGGGATTCCCACAAACGCCGGTCTGCAAAACCTGGCCTGCAGGTGCCACGTTCTGGAGACCCATTTCGGGGACTGCCATCCCGCAATGCTGGTGTGACCCTTGCAAAGAAGGGTACGTACACTACACACACTTTCCACGATAGGTCGGTCTTGCGAACTTTGCGAAGCGCGAAGCCTCCCATGGCTGGCCCTTGGCAGGCGAGACGTTGCGGTGCCGGGTACCCCCAGCTAGCTGGGATGGCACGTACAAATACGCTAGTAGCAGTGAACAGGGTATATATGTATCCGTACGCCTATCCATGCTGGAAACATCCTCCATTGACCTAAGTAGCCGGCTGTAGTATGGATACAAAGGCACGTAACAAGTTGGGCTTGCGGTATTTTGTGAGGATTCCATACTCAAATTTAATTTTTTTTCGAGCCGCCGTACGGTCTTTTTTTTTGTGACAAGGAGAAAAAGACCCAAAGTGCGGTGTGTTGAAGACCATTTGTTGCGAAATCCATCCCAGCCAAGCGGGGGGTGGGAGGGAGGGGGGGAGCTGGTTTTAGAAATTGGACCCTGGGGATCGATCCCTATCCCTAACCTTGTTATGTCGTGTTTTCTGTGTTTGTCCGAGGTGCGGACGCGGATAGATTGAAATGCCGAACGTCGAGCATACACTCCGATCAGCAAGTCCGGGGTGCTCCTGCTACCGAGCGCTTCCCGGCTCCCTTATGCCTCACTACAGAGGGCACGCCTCTCTTGCTCCTGCCCGCTGGCGGCCCATGGTAGGTATGCTATTGAATTGGGTACCCGAGACGGTCCACAAAATCCATAAGCATGGGTTGTGGCGATAAGGTAGGTGGCTCAAGATTGTATGTCTAGGCAACCATTTATACCGAGTACCCAGGTAGCTATGCAGCTCCTGGGCCATATTCGAGGGGGCGTGACGGCTGATCTGGCAACCGCCATTCAAGATGAGACTGGGGTGTCTTCCTCCTGAGGCAGGTTAACTCATTGGCATTATGTAGTCTCGAAGAGAGAGCTCCTGGGGACCGTTTCGAGAAGGATGCAGCATGGGCCCCCCCCTCAGGACGCGAAAACGAAAAAGAAAGTAAGACATCCCAGCTGTCCCGATAGAAAGCAGCTTCCAGACTGGAACGAGCTCTCATGGCTGTCTCTCTTTTTTCGCATGCATGGAGATGCAGGAGAGACAGGTCGGTTCGAGAGGATACGGTAGGGTTCCTGGGTATTTTATCTCAAACCCACGAAGTGCTTGCGATGGATGATACGAAGGCGATGGGCCAGGTAGTGTATATACGCAGTCCAGTTGGGCACAGGGGCTGCAGAGAAAAGAACGGTAGAATGAGAGGCAAGCAAGGCAGGTAAGCGAGAAGGAAAGAAGAAACGAAGTGAGGTATGCCCTGCTGGTTCTCAATGTCGGTCTGGAGTGCCCGTCCTCAGCAACGTGAATGCGGTGATTCGGATGCGGGTTGAATGGGTGAATCGGAACAGCAGGCGCGGCCAAGGAAGTACTTACCTTGGCGCACCTGCATACATAGATACTTGGGTACGGATACCTATCCACCATTTACCTTAGGTAGTTACCTAGGTAGGTATCTACCGAAATAAGTGGTGCGCAGGATTCTGTTTAGCATGCGTACGGAGTACATGCCAACCAAACCCATAAGGTTGGAGCTGTCAGTTCAAAAGTGCCGGCTGAGCGACGCATCCAAGCCCTTCACTGCAAAGTCAAGCGTGCAAGCCAGCAAGGCAGCTTAGGAAAGCAGCTCGTCTAAGGGGGTCGCCACGCGGGATGCATTAACGGCAAGAGCAAGATTGTGGTGCTGATTGGCTCTCTCCTTCTCCGACCTATCCCTCTCCCTTGATAATAGTTGTCGAGTAGGTATGAGTAGGGAGCGGCAAAGGAAGAAGAAAGAAGAAACCATGTTTCCGCGAAAAAGACGGGCAGGCAAGGCAAAGTCGGCTGTGGTGAAAACATGGGAATCATGGGTAGGAAGGCGGGGTTGCAATGGGAAACAGGGTGCTTCAGTAATCCTCATGCTTCCATTCTTACCTCAGTTTGACCTGATCTGTCCCGTCTGCGTCCGCATGCGCTTGATTTGTCTTGGGGCTGGTGGTTACCAGCTTGGTACGGATACCTTGGCAAGCTCAAGCCGCGCATGTTGCTTCTTGCTTGTTGCTCATTGCTAAGCGGCCATTTGCGTAGCTCTGACCGAACAACAACTTTCGGCAGAACAACAGATGGTAGTTTAGCCACGACTTACTCCTCTCCCACCCCTTCCCCAAGAAAGGAAGCTTCCAATCTCGTCATGCCAACATCAAGCCTGGAGATAGATTATGGCCCGGGGCTGTCTCCCGCCCTGTCGGTTGCACTTAAGTGGGGCACATGGCACAGGCCGAAGCTCGAGCTTGCGGATCGCCCCACTCGGTCAATGTTCCACCCCAACACGTCTGTACCTACCACGAGGGTCGACTTCTCCTATGGGGCTGTTGTTGCTCCTGCCTTCTTCCCCAAGTGAGAAACCGACACGAACACTGTACCGACACGGACACTGCACCGACGGAAACAAAAAAGAGCACATCGGGAAACGAATCAGTAACCACCATATTCCACATGTTAGACCAGTTCTTGCATCAGTTTCTAATCTCTCGTATCCTACCAGTACCATATCACACGCTGCACCACAGGTATCTGGGTATCTATCTGCCTACATCGTACCTACCAAGGCAGGCAGGCAGGCACCATACCACCTATGTACCGCAACTGCCAAGCGACCCAATACTATGCCGAATGCAGCAAGGTTCGAAAGAGAGGGGCCACAGACGTGGAGGGCGGCAGCAGTCCAGATTTGTTCACGCAGAGCAGGAAAGAGAGGAGGAAGAGGGAGAGGGACAGGGAGGGAGGATGGCGGAGGGGAAAAGGCTCTTTCTTTCCTTCGATTCAGATTCACAGCTTAGATACATGCTCCCGTGTGGGGCGCAAGGTGTGTAGGTGCAGGTGGAGTCTGACTCTAATCCCACGCCCCTCCCTCTCATCGAGATCGATCATCAGAGCGTAACCAGATCAAACGCTCCTAGATCGTCTTGTCTAGCGATCGAAAGCAGTCGAAATGCCACTTTCCTTTTCCGCTTGCTCTGTCGACGCGGATTCCACATGCCCAACCCAAAGGTACATGCGCTTGTTTGCCTGCTTACGTGCCACCTGGTCTGTACTGTACAGACTTGAAAGAAAAGAAAAAAAGTCTAGCACCTGCCGCACACACACACACACACACACACCCCCCACACCCCCCAGAGAAGGTACCACTACCACTCCTCCTCCTGCTCCTCTTCCTCTCCCCACCAGTCTCTTGCCAAAGTTTCCTACCACCCAAATCCAAAGCTGCCATCCAACATTGCTTTGGCCTGTCTGCTCCGCGCCCGTTCGTTTCTCCCGAGCACGAACCCTTGGGTCGTATAAGATTTGCTTACCGCCCTGTCCCACCTTTTGTCAACTCATCTTCACACACCCTTCTGGTCCATCAACCGGCAACTTCTCTTGAACCGAGCAAGGTATTTCCGACCGACAATACACGTTTGCGCGCCTTTTCTACTGCTATACCGGAGGGTAAAAATCAACATCATACCGACCCTTGATACAACACCAGGCGGTTTAGGCTTCAAAGGTTCTAGCCACAACAAAGCCCATCGCCACACCTATACAGCAACTCCCAGTAACCACCCTGACGGTTTGCGAACCTCTTCAACCACGCCACAACTGCTCTCGTACCACCCTCTTCGTTCTGGTTTATATCAATCGTCGATCACCAAGTCTCCGACGTCAACACAATGCCTAAGCGATCCTTGGACGCCAGCAACCTGTCGCCCGCAATGCAGACGGACAGGGCACAGAAGAAGGTACCAAGCAACCCCAACCACCATATCTCTCTCATGGCGTTGAACGAGTTCAACACTATGACACCCTCGCCCACCTACCCTCGCACGTCGTGTTGTTTACGGCCCAGAGTCTTGCGCTCTCTACTCCCGTCTTGAGCAGTGATGCATCGCTCCAGCCCCACCGCGCCCAACAGATGCCATACTCAAAACTTGACCATGCATGTCTTGGGCTAACCTTGATATCATATAGACGGAGAGGTCTCACGAAGAGAACCAGGAACGTGCGTACATTGCCGCCTCCCGGCGAGCGGACCGCAGCATCGAGGCTCGCGTGCAGTCGGCCAAGATGGCCAGCGAGATTCACAAGAAGCGTACCGGCAAGGGTTTCAAGATTTCCGAGGCAATCGTGCAGGCTGAGGAGATGTATGAGGAGGAAGAGGACGACATGCCCAGGTCTTATCGCATGCTTGCGGCTCACCTACAGACCGGCTCCGCCGAGTTTGATTACCGTGTAAACGCCTTCCTCGCCAACCGGGTAGCGATGGCAAGCATGGTTGCTGGGCTTCGCAACGAAGAGTGGGCTCAGAATCCTATCAACAAAATGTTTGCCGAGCAATTTCCCAATGCCAACAAACAAGCTCAAGCATTATCACGCAACATCACAAACTCCATGTATTACCAGCCCGTCGCAGGCCAGCGACCAGTGCAACAGCAGCAGCAACAGCCTCAGCCCGAGAACGCGGCATCGAGCCCGTTATCTCCAACCTTTGCTTCGGCAAACTTCCAACCAGAAAGTCAGCAGTATTCGAGAGAGAGAAGGCAGTCTGTGGCTTCGCCCATGGATATGGCCACGCCGACTGTGAGAGACAACGCGCAGTCCCCGCCCGCTCTGTCTCCTTCGTCTGAGGCGGCAGCCGGCACTCCATCGACGCACACCGCTTCGACATTTCCTTCGCCAATGGCGAGCCTCGACCACAGCCTCTTCCCGCCTGGGTCCTCGTTCACGGCCGAGCTGCCTATGGATGCGAAGATGATGGCACCCAACTTTGACATGAACGACCCCTTGTCCCACATGTTTTTGGGCAACCCGCTGCAGCAACACGTGTTCTACCCGGACACGCATTCAATTTCTGATCTGAAACATGATCAACACTTGAATGATATGACCTTGGCCAACCACGAGTATTTCAACGGCGATTTGAACCCGTACGCTTCACGCTTCGATGATTCGCACAGCGGAACGACCACACCGACTCTCAACGTCAACGACAACTGGGATGCTTATCTCGATTTCGGCGAGCAGTCCGACACTGGCGCCATTGACCCGACATTGTAGTCGGCATACCACACGGTGTAATTTGACACATTGAACATTGGGAGGATGTAATGAGAAAGATCCAGAAAGAGGAGGGAACCCTCAAGTGGTATGATATGATGAGAGAGGACCCTGGCTGGTTCACAAGCATGACTTTTTAGAGTACGCATTTGCATCGGTCGGTCCACAAAAGGCGGTATGGGATACCCATGGGATGGCATTAGGCAATCCTTTCGGCGTTTTGGTACGGGGTGCTCATCCCATTTCTTTGATACATTCTCCTGTTTTTTTGTTGTTTGTTTTTGGTTTGTTTTTCCAAAGTTCTGTTCTCAAAGTCCGTCATTTTAGGACTCGAGGACACTTATGTTCCAGCATATGCTGTTTCTTATTTCTTATTCTTGCGAGCAACGTGTCGCCGAAACGTACACGCCAGAAACGCGGCCTCTGTATGTTTGTCCAAATTCGGGAAATCGATGGCATCAAGGGGAGTATCATAAAGGATGCGTAAGCCTTCAAGCACTGATAGGAATGGTGGGTAAGGAGGAAAGGGAGATTACAACAAAAACAGCATGTCTGTTGAACAATCAAAAGGCTGTTGGCGGAAGCGGGGTAGGGAGTGGACGGTCCATTGTTGTCCAGCGCAAGCAAGTGCTGGTAAGAGGTACGAGCTTGCAAAACATGGCAAATCCCCCCTCGTAAAGAACGCATTAAAAAAAAAAACAATCAGAAAAGTAAGAAAATTACCTTTTCACAAACGAATCAGTGTTTTGTTGGTGTATATTACCGACGCTCGTCTTCAATTCCTTGGTCCCTGGCCCGGGCTCAGTGAAGACGAACCCACACACAAATGAGGATAAGATGAGCGGTTTGCCGGCTGTCAAGAGGACTGCCTGGGTCGATGGCCTCGGTTTGCCTAGATCGTGGGCTGCCGGAGTGTGGTGGTCGGAAGAGACACAACTTGGTTGGGGCATACTCGGTATGTGCTCCGTACACACATTCTACCGGGTCTATGTCCCGGCTTATGTTGAGGTATGAGTGACATGAGTGACATGAACGGCATACATACTATTATGTATCCGTACATAATCAAACGTATCCAACTTTGGACCTGCGGTACCCACACGGATCCGATTCGGGTCACAGGTGAAGGCGAGAGGTACTCACCTATATGTATTACCTAAGTGCTGAATGACATAAGCGACCGCAGTCGGCGGTCGCAGTGTATTACCTACCTACCTACCTGGATGACGGTACAGCCCCACTGAGCCAACGGCTGGGAAAACTTCCTACTGGCACAAGCCGCTCCCGCACCCACTGCATTTAGCGACGTGCGCGTTCGCGACACCCCGATCCACCATCGAAATAATTCCCAACTTGGAATTTCGAAGTCTGGTCAACATTCATGTTGGCAGCTTCCAGATTCACCCGCCGAGTCATGACGTCCGCACACGCCAATGGCTCCGCCAAGGCGGCCTTCTCCTCATCTTCTGCGACGACGACTGCCCTGAGCCGATGGAGCATCGCGACGAAGCAGCTTCCGGCCGTGGGCAACATCAAGTCGCTGCACATCTACGACTTTGACAACACCCGTATGCTTCCTCCCGCCCGCTCCGCGGCTTCCGCGCAAACCTCGGTCGCAGCACCAAGGCTAACCTTCGCTCGTGTCCGCAGTCTTCAAAACACCCTTGCCGAACCCCGCATTATGGAGCGGTCCTACGATCGGCGTGCTCTCGAGCCAGGATGTCATCTGCAACGGCGGCTGGTGGCACGACTCACGAATCCTCGCGGCGACAGGCGAGGGGGCCGACACTGAGGAGAAGCGCGCGTGGGAT